ATTCTCGTATTACGCTGTAATTAAAACATTTCTGATTTTACGTGTATGTTAATTAAGCGACTAAGGTTTCCGAATAAGCCGAAGCTGTTCATTACCGACAGGAAGCGCATAAAGTAAAATCAATTATACGCAAGTAGTGTTTACAATCAGGACGTGGTCGATTTTGTAAATTATTAAATTGCGGGTTTAAATTTAGCTTAGAACGCGGCGTGGCTTTAAATTTACTGTTGAAAAAATAAATCGATTAATTTTTTTTGTTGTACAACGACGCTTCGCTTCACTATAAAAATCGATGGTCTATGCAGCCCCATTCAATGGGGTAAAATAGATATGCGGTCATCAAAACATTTCCTAAATGGAGACTCCATAAATATTATGCATAACCGACTGGCACTCTACCTAGATCGAGAACGTGAACTAATATAAAAGTGGCATTACAAAGTTTTACGTGGTCACTTTTTGCCCAAAATAATTATTAATGACATTATTGTGCCTAGCACTGTCGTTTTTTTGAAGGACCATTACTCTGAGGAAAATGTTTTTCGCTATAGATACAGGATGTTTCCTTCCTCATATGTTACAAAATTCTCACAGTGATGTACATCTAATGAATGGTATGGGCATCTTATACCAATGAATTCTAATTATTAGCTTGACATTGATTTTGAGTGAAAAAAATGAACTTTTCTAAACAAATTAAAATTGCAAATTTTTATTATGGATCTATAGAAGTGACAAGTCATAAATGACCATCAAAAAATGTTTTTCCAGTAATGAAAACTCTTTGTTTTTCATAAGAAAAAATGGGTTTGGGATTTAATTCTCTATCATTTCCTATATATAGCTTTTATTTCAAAATTTGGTAGATTTTCTGCAGCAACTCGTGTATTTTATTTTCAATCTAATTAAACTTATTTAATATTCTATTCTAAGTCTTTTTAAAACCTTAATTACTTAAATTAAGCAAGTATTTTAAGTAAATAGCCCTTATTACTAATTGGAAAACATTTTCTACATAACCTCTAAATCTTTCTATTTCTTTTCGAATTTTCATTTTTATACACTTAATTTAAATATATAGTTCTCCAACAAATTGATAAAATACTGCTTCTTAATTTCTTTAACATGACTTTCTTTTCAAATGCGTCAGTACTGAATGTTTTTTGCTGGCCGTATTGAAAATAGTGGTCCATGGAACTGGCAAAAATTGGAATGGATTTTAATACTTTGAATACCAGTCTTACTTATATCCGGTAGATCCCGGGATGCATCTCTTGGCAAATTTGTTTTCCGCAAATTACAGGAGAACTCTTAATTGCTTCTCTTCTGTTTGGATAATTTCAAGGTCACGAACGATTCATGAAAAAAATGTTTTTTTGTGGGTATCCGCCTTGCAGGATACAACAACCTATATTCTCTTAGGGCTAATGATCGGTTTTAATTATTTTTCATGAAGATCTAACTAAACGCTCTTGAACACTGTAAAAAACCATTTTTCTTTTAAAAAAGTATAAGTAAAGTATACTGCATATCTCTGTTCAGACAACAATTTTATTGGTTATTTTTGGAACCATCCTACATGTTACGGGGGTTAGAAAACGTTTTGTATTAGTAATAAGTTTTATTTACTTGCACCATTTAAAGATTTTGGCTAGAATATGATCATTTTATGGGTTCAGTAATACATAATTAACTACTAAAACCAACAAATGTGCTAAATACAGGGTGTTTTATTTTTAAAAAATTAGTTTTTCTAATTAGGAAACACATTTTTGTGATGCTCATTTGTGACCATCCTGTGTAATGTGTTTTCACCATAGATAGGTTAAGGAATTAAATATTAACCACTTCCATGGATCCATAATAAAAAATTCCAATTTTAGATTTAACTTGTAAAAAAAAACATTTTTCCAAAAACCGATACCGAAGTGTGTACAGGACCGCAATATCTTAAACAATGATGGATATCTCGATTATGAATATCATTTCCACTACAAAGTTTACCAAACAAGTACGGCAAGGTCTTATTGGTGGCTAACTGAACTTTATAGCGGTCCTCCAGCTTAAGCCTACCCGAATCGAGAGGCACTGTGAAATATGGTCATACTTTCTGCGATTGTAACTAAAATATATACAAGCATTCTGAATCCGTGGAAGTCTCTCCTTGTCTCGGGCAATGATACTACAATAAGCGATATGGGATAAAACTAACATATTACAGAGTTCAAATTGACTTCTTTACTGAGAAAATGTTTATTAATATACAATGTCCTCAACTTATAGAAGGATTATTGTAACACCGAGCCAACATGCTTAGAAAACCGCAAGTCACCGTCAAGCCATAATCTTAAATTTTTCCACCCGTCTGAAGATGGAGAGATAATCTAATCATTTAGTGTAATCTTAAAAGAGTCGTTTTTTACAATATCTTCCATTTTATTTCCAAATAATAACATCTGCGTGAGTATCATCGCCGCATTTACAAAATTTAAGAAAAGTGGAGAAATCAGCTGTTAAGACTGAGAACAGAATTGGTCTTAGCATACTCCCCTGGGAAACACCCCTCTCCAAAGCAATGGCATCTGAATATAACTACCATTTGATATCTCTGCTCAAGAAAATTTAAAAAAAAATAAAAAGCAGTACCTTTTGTCCCGAAAATTTTCAGTTTAGCTAGGAGAAGCAAATGATCCAAAGTATCGAAGGCTATTTCCTCGATTTGCAGACCGATTTAAAAATAAGACCGCCATACTCCACAAAGCTATTTTTAGAGCCAGCATTAAAATTATATAGCGAACTCCATCATATTTCTATACGCTTCTTTACTAAATGTCCAAGTCTCATCCAAAAATACTGGATTGAATTAAATGTCCTCATTCAAAATGTTAATCTTCGGATGTGTTCGGATATGTTCGGATGTGTTCTGGTTGGCCCGGGAAAATTTTGAATCCTCGGGTATGTTCGGCTTTTCACGGAAATTTTCGGGTTCCGCATGCGCACTATCAATCTTCGGATCCTGTAAATTTGTTGTGTTCCGTTAGGCAATTTTCGATTTTTTTCTCTCCCCTCCATATATTAAAAAAATATATAAGTATGAGGGTGTTTGTGTTAAATAGTTAATTTCTAGTTTCAACAGTAGCAACAGAATTATAACTGTTACCGATTTATCGAAGCCATGCCGATAAAATGAGAGGAGGGGGTTGAAATGCCGTAAGCAAAACTTAAGCACCCGACAGGAAACGAAATTTGAAATGAAGCTAGGATAGAAGTCTTTCAATTATTATCTTCTTCTATTCTATCTTCCATTATACAAAAGTCCTGGTTATTCATATTTATTATTCGGTTAAACAGGTAACCCGAACACACCCGAACATTCACATTCAACCATTTCCTACTAATATAGTAAACTCCTGCCTCCTTGAAGGCGTGTTCCCAGATGAATAGAAAGTTGCACGCACTTCTCCACTTCGCAAAAATAATAAAGTAGATAGTTTTAATGTATTGAGACCGATCAGTATTTTGCCTTGCCTATCTAAACTCTTAGAAAAGATTATGAATAATCAAATGCGATTTTTTTTGGAAATAACATTTTGCCTTCGAACCAGTCAAGGTATCGGTCTGGATACAGTTGTGTAACGGCGCTTTTGAGTATTACAGATGGCATAAAATCAATAGATTCGGGACAGTCATCTGTTTTGCTGCTTTTGGACTACTCGAAGGCATTCGACACTAACGTCACGAACTCCTGTTAGCTATTTTAAATTATGTCGGATTTTCGCATGGTGCGATAAAGCTAATAAAAAGTTATCTTGATAATCGTATGTTGAAACAAATTTGGGTCAATCAGCTAGAGAAACTGTTAGTTGCGTTGTGCCGCAAGGTTCCATACTGGGGCCACTTTTATTTACAATTTACACCAGCAATTATGTATCGTCTATAAAAAATGTTACGGCATATTTTTATGCTGATGACACCCAGATATTATGTTCATTTGACCCCAGCACTTGGTGCAATGCATCAAAAAAAATAATTAATCCAAGTAAATCATCTGTTATGCACTTTGGAAAGAATAGGAATCGTCTCACACAAACTACAGGATGCTAAGTGGTTGAATATGCGTAGACTACACTCCTTGGTATTTTTTCACAACATTTTTTAAATAACAGTCTTCCTTTCTTGACAAATAAAATAACATATGGGACAGATGTTCACAGACTGAACCTTAGATTTAGGGGTCTTATCTCTCCACCACCACACAGGACGTCTCTTTTTCAAAGAAACTTCTCCTATAACGTTTACAAACTTTACAATACCGTTCCTCTCTCTTTAAAAGCCTTATCACCAGTAAACTTGAAAAAAAAAAGACGAGAAATGTTCAGCCAACAAGCAAATTGCGAGTAAGTTCAGTCCAAAAATTTTTAGTTTTTATATACACGTACACATTTTCTTCTTTTGCTATAGTTATCTCATGCGAACTAATAATTCTAAAATAAACAATAAAACAATTTTAATTGCTTTCATCCCCATTTTTGCAATTTATTTGGTTTATTGGTACTTTATTGTATTGTAAATTGAACATTGCAGAATAAACGTATTGTTATTATTATTATTATTTAAAATATCTTTTGCTGGGTTGAAGGATTTCAGGTATAATCAAAAGGTAAAATAGATGTCTCTAAGACATTGTGTGCTGTATGATTTAAAAATGTTATGTTGGAAGTACTGACTAGAGAGTGTTACGACCTTTTTTTTTTTGCTTATTAAGTTCTTATTATGATGTGGTCTAGCTTTCACTAAGAAAAATAATCTGCGGTAGAAGAGATGAATGTTATGTTATGTTAAGTATGCCTGTAATTAAATAACCGAGAAAAGTGATCCGTACTACAAAACTCAAATACCCAGAATTCGGTTCCACATTCATATGAGTTGTTTCCATCGCCATAGATTTTTGTCGCCTGCTGGAAAAATTGAAATACTATCATTTTCGCATTCTTTCACAGACCCAGAGGATCACGGGCGATGGTCAGGGGTGGGTCGACATGGGCGACAGTCCAATTTTCGGGACGGACAGCTCCAACTACATCTCCATAGCACCCGTCCGTGACGGTCCGTCTGGGACTTTCCGTCACGCGGTATCTGTAAATATTCCCAAACGGCGTATCATACCCCTTACGCACGGAAAATTCGAAATAGCCAGGATTCTTACGTGGGATCACTCAAACGACGTCATGTGAGTAATATTTGCCAAAAATTTGGCAACCGATTTATTAAAATAATAATGTGCACGTACAGGTTTATTTTTTATATTTATCTACCCACCTGCAGGGGTTAACGGAAGAAACTGAGAAAAAATTTTAATAGGAAAGTTGAATAATTTTTGCAGTATTATATTTTAGAATTGTAAAAGGAAAGTTGAGAAACATTGGCAAGTGTTTTATTTTTAAGTCCAACACCCTATATATTTTCCTGTTATGACGAAAGGTCTTATTCTTCTGATGATAAGGAACATAATATCAACAACAAACAATATCAAAACAATAACAACAACAATAATTAAAGTATAACGTAAAGTAAATGAACATATGAGCATAAGAACATTTATTTCTTGTTCAATCCTTTCTCTGGACTTTCAAATATTTTGAGAAACCCTACCCTACCTTTCTCGATAGTCTCTATGGTCCCTGCTTCAGATATTATTTGGATAAAATTTTGGAATCAATTGTGCAATAATAATACTTCTGGTGTTATTTTTGCACCTGTATAAATGCACCTGTGGGCTTTACAGAAGTTCGTGGTGACGCCAGACGCGTAGTAAATTGCAGCATGTTGCAGTTATTTTTTAGGCACACCCGCGATGAAGCCTGGAGAACTGCATCTTTTTCGGGTATCTTCGGTACCACCGAGAAGCGGGGCGACGCTTCCGCCACCGGTGTGTTTGACCTGCGTCAAAGAACCAGCCCCCACCTCGCCTCCTTACATTGGGTTAGACGAGAACACGTACCGACTGAAGAAAGCCAACTGGGAAGATGAAGACGATGATACCGTGATGACGACTCCGCCGCCCAAGAAAAAGAAGAAAGGGAAACAGAAGTTTGCGCAGAAAGATCCGCCCTGTTTGTATCACAACGCTGTATTTAGGTAAAGTGAAGGCCACGTTATTTTTAACGTTTTTTTTTTATATGCACTGCGAACTGGGGTTAAATCGTCAAACGTATAAGATAAAAAATAAAACTTTATCCCATTTGATTTCGAGTTGCAGGGTTCTAAGGGATTTTGAATAATAGCGTTAATCCCAGTGGCGTCACAGAAGGTAATCTAAGTAAAATTTATGATAAAATTCATTGTATGTTACTGTTTTTTGTTCATTTTATGTATTTTTTAGATTACGCTATTGGAAATACAGTGTTTGTAATTTGTAAGTAATTGTGTTTGAAGAAGAGAATCATATAGCAAACCCAGAGTAAAAAAAATAATGTTTTCTGTGGAGCTATATTCTTAAATCTATGAGGTGTATTAACACTTTTACATTTTGTACAATTTGTGCATTAATAAGTTTGGTATAGTCTGTCTCAAAATTAATCGCTTTGGCTTTCGACGAAACCTCCCCAATAAAACTTTGAACGATGTTATTACCTAGTGTTATTGGGTAAAGCCATTAACAACAAATTTATTTTTATTTGGGTGACAAGGCAGGGTTAGGTAAGGTATATTCCTCTCTTTCTGGTATATTTCATGAGTGTTGACCATTTGTGACGTTTTTACTAGCAAATAAGAAACTTTAAAAGAAACCTGTCCACTTTCAATAACGCTAATATCGACGATAAAGGATATTATTAATAGTGGAGAATTAAAGAAAAGGAACAAACGTAGTGATTGTCAAACTCAATGTATAGACAATAGTGATCAGGACCTAATAAAGATGAAAATATGTTGTCTTCATCAAAGCTAAGTTGTTCCCAAGAAGCTTGAAGAAGAGGAAACCAATATAACTATAAGCCGTGCCACCCTCCATAGAGTTGTTTGTAAAATGGGATTTAAGTCTTGCAAAATAGACAAAAGGGACGCAGTAATGGAATCACACAGATTACGCACCTGGAGATTTAATTACCTTGAATAAATTAAAACATATAGACTTGATGAATCATGGTTCGATAAACATGACACAGTATCCAAAGAATAGGTTGATTTCACTCAAAACTGCCAGTGGTAAGCATCTTCAAATACAGGAAAATGCATCACCATAATACACGCTGGGTCATAAGACGGATTTGTCCTAAACTGCTTGCTTTTGTCTGCAATGTTAAAGCTTCTAGTTTGGATTATCATGAGCATACAAGTGCAGAACTTTTTCAAAATTGGTTTCAAAACAATTTTTTAAAAAATATTAAAAATAACATTGCTATTGTCATGGATAACGCAAGGTACCACAGCACTCCGCTGCGCAAAGCACCAGCATCTTTACGTTAATAAGTGATATTTATTCTTTTTGAATTCATTTACAAAAAAGCCCAACTTTTGGAAGTTCTAAAATCATATGCAATTGGAAAAACAGTATGTATGCGACAATTTACCCAAATGCGAAGTGAGTCCATTGTCAAATATGTTTGAAAAAACAACTTTCTGATCATTTTGTGGTTTTAGTTCGAATGTTGTTGCTTTTGTGTTTCGCCAGCTCAAAATTGGCTACTTTTTGATTGACACAGCTAATAAGTGTTTTCAGTTTTCTCCATTAATAAACCAAACACTAATGGAATATAATTATTATTTAAAAATCCATGTTAAGCAAATAAGTGTTACAATAAGCAAAAGTACCATCCATATAAATAATGCCCGTTCTGGTAACTGTACCGAAATATGAATAATACAAGAGTCATTAAGACGGTTTCACCACAGAAACATGTTTTATATTTGTAAAATAGGTAATAAAAGCTGTATAAGATCAGTGTTTAAGGGCAGGTATATTTTATTAATTTAGTAAGGTATTAATAACTGGCGAATGTGATTTTTTATGTTAGATTTTTACTCTTAATGATTAAAAATTGAGTTTAATTGCAGCTGCGGGATTGATTGCTTGGAAAAATCATTTTCTTTAGCAACACCTACTTGAAATCAGAAGTGCTAGAAGTTGCCGACGCATACGGAAATGAGTATGACAAATATAACGGGGTAAATATATATAACATAAGTTTACCACCTATGACCTTAATAATATCAAGATCGTATGACATCAAATAAAGCCGTATGTGGCAATGAACAACTCCGATTTCTAAATGTCACTGAAGGAAATTAGAGGAATTATGTTCAATATTAATACACCATGGATGAATTTATTATTAACGTACATTCTGGCGACGGTCCTTGGATCGACATTGCCATTTCCAGTCTCAGTCATATTTTGAGCAGTACACATATCATGAGCCTGTCATATCCCTTTTTGACAAAACAATGTTTGCTTTTACGTGCGATATGAGAGAAATCTAAAGGCAAACATTTTGAATAATAACAATTAAAACCCATATTTTTAAGAAAAAAAATGTTTTTCCTTGTGGATGTCCAATGATCCAGTTTAGCTGTTTCGCCAACTATATTAACGAAGTGCGCTGTCATTGCTTAAGGCACGTCATAACTACTCTTGCAATAAAATAAAGGGTGTTTTTTCTCGATGTACAGACCTTTAAGTTGGCATTACTGTTCAAGATGGCGACTGACTTAACAGCTGTCAAGTGATTTATTCTCAGTTTGGTTTGGCAATTCATCATGAATAGACTCACGCCTGAACAACGCTTGCAAATAGTGCAATTTTATTTCGAAAATAATGATTCTGTGCGGAATACGTATCGCGCACTACGTCCATTTTATCGTCGAGAAAATCGTCCATCAGAGCAGTGAATTCAATTAACCATGGAACGTTTTCGCAGCATGTTTACTCTTATTGATAACTCGCATCCCCAGAAACGCCGTACGCTGCGTACAGAAGAAGCTATCGCTGCTGTAGAACGTAGAATTGAGGAACACCCGAATGTCCATCCACTTTATGGAAGATTTTGCGGAAGGATCTTGGTTTACGTGCTTACAAAATCCAACTCCTGCAAGAATTGAAGCCAAACGATCTTCAAGTAAGGCGTAGATTCGTCGAATGGGCCCAAAAAGAGATTGCCATTGTTCCCGATTTTCATAAACGAATTTTGTTTAGCGATGAAGCGCACTTCTGGTTGAATGGCTACGTCAACAAACAAAACTGCCGCATTTGGAGCGAAGCTAATCCTTAACTGTATGTCAAAACATCGTTACATCCAGAAAAACTGACTGTTTGGTGCACTTCATGGGCTGGTGGAATCATTGGTCCGTACTTCTTCAAAAACGATGATGGCCAGAACGTTACAGTCAATGGTGATCGGTATAGAGCTGTGATTACTAACTCTTTCATTCCTGAATTTAATAACCATGATGTCCAGGAGATGTGGTTTCAACAAGACGGCGCATCATGTCACACAGCTCGTGCTACAATCGATTTATTGAAAGACACGTTTGGTGACCATCTAATTTCACGTTTTGGACCTGCGAATTGGCCTCCAAGATCTTGTGATCTAACACCGCTAGAGTCTATGCGGATAAGCCACATACGCTTGACCATTTGGAAGACAACATTCGCCGTGTTATTGCCGATGTACGGCCAAAAATGTTGGAAAAAGTTGGAAAAATTGGACGTCCAGATTGGACTACATCCGCCAGGCGTGGCGGTCATATGCCAGAAATCATATTTAAAATAGAATGCCACAAGATTATCTTAACATCCCTTATAATATTATATCTATTTTTATTACTAGAAACTCCTGCGCTAATCAACTATTTATTTGACCTCGAAATTATTGTAAACAATAAGAGATATCCTATTTGGTAAATTTGTGAAGATATTATGCTTATCATATAAAGAGCATTCAATATCTTAATTTAATTAATTTAATGTTATTGTTTATCGTTGGTCGTTCTAGTAAGTTTTATCATTAAAAAACGACTAAACGAAACGAACTCGACTTTTATTTAATTGAAAAGTAAAGGATAATTTTTAACTTATAAATAAGAAACTTAAAAATAATTAGATTTAGGTAAGTGCAAGAAGTGTAACATATAAGATATACAGGGCAAGAAGAGACACTTGGAAGGACTTTAATGTTTTGTGCAATCTCCACCCGCATTAATCACAGTCTTCTGCTCATGGTCATGAAAGGAGACAATTCATCCCATACTTCCTGAATACCTTGTCATAGCTCCTCGATGTTTTGCAGCAAAAAATTTCTTTCATCATTATCCCCCATATGTTTTCGATTGGACTTATATCAGTACGGTTACTTGGCCATGGCAAAATTTCAATGTTGGCATTTTGGATCCGTTGTGTAACGATTGTCGTGTTAATAAATATAATTAGTTTTCTGGTAAAGCTGTCCCAAGTATTCCCTCTCCGTCATACCACTGCTAGTCCTCTGGATGAAATCCATCTCCATACATTTTTACTGAAATGGTTGGTTTGTCTTTGATTTTACATTTTTTGGAAGACTGGATGATCTTGTCATCGGAAAATATTGCTCTATCCAAAAACTCCTGTTCTTGCGCTTAACAGTTAAGAGCGAAAATAAGACCTGCTTGCTTCTGTTGGGGAGTGACTGCTGTCTCTTTTCCCGTACTCCGACATTTGAGATGCGATGCCTCAATTCTTCGACTTGCCTGATCTTCTTGAACTGAACTATATGTTTATCTGCCAGATCTCCTTTTCCGTTCAAATTTTTCTTTTTGTCACCACCTTTTATTAATGGAAACGATGGCTGGTCTGCTTACACTAAAATATTGAGCTACCGCTGATAATGACCAACTATCTTCTGACTTGGTCACATTCCTTGCTTTTTAACTCTTTGCTCGTATGTTGAGCCATTTTAGACTTCCATCTACACTGCTCGAAACGTTGAAAAATACTTCTTTAAGGTCGCATCCGCCATACATAAAAATTAGGTAACGTAAAAATGTTGAAATAAATTTGTTTGAGACCGGACCTGAATGTTCGCCCATAAGATTCCACACTATCTTCTCAGTGTGACAAAAATTATTTAATCTTTACTAAAATATAAAACTAAGTTTAAATAAAT